CATCCAACCATCCATGCATCCATCCATCCAACCATCCATGCATCCATCCATGCATCCATCCATCCATCCAACCATGCGTCCAACCTTCCAACCTTCCATCCATCCAACCATCCATCCATGTCTCCAACCATCCAGCCGTGCATCCATCCATCCATCCATCCATGCCTCCATCCATGCATCCAACCATCCATCCATCCAAACATCTATGCATCCATCCATGCCTTCATCCATCCAACCATCCATCCATGCATCCATCCATGCATCCAACCATCCATCCATCCATGCATCCATCTTACAGCCTTGTAGGATTCATTTAACAGACTTGAGGAGCATGAGCTCATCTTTACTGTTTGTTGTGATCAGTCCAGAAAACGCAACATGTAGCAGTAAACACCCAACAGCAGCAAATCAGCAAACTATGATGTCACTGTGTGCTGACTGATGATTGGTTTGCTGCGGTGCCTTACCCTGCGGGTGACGGTGGGGTCGCGGAGCGCCTTGCCCATCAGGTGACCCAGCAGCGTGTTGGTTCTCAGGAAGCGGAGCCTGATGTTTGTGGCCTTGGTGAACTCCCTCAGTACTGGCGAGTACGAAAAGTTCATCGCCCCGGGACGGCCGTTCACCAAAGACACGACGATCTGAGAACAAAGACACGAAACCTGCAAACACCTGGCAGCTGATCGTTCCTCGGGTCAGCTGACCAATTCCTTGAACTGATGTTAGCTAACAGCTCAGAATTTCAACCTTTAGTCACTGTCTGCTTTTTTCTCACTTTCTGAGCATTATTTATCCATTTGGACCACTCGCTCGTTCCTTTGGCTGATAGATTTCTACGTCCTCCTCACTCATCTTTCTCCCAGCTAACCTGATCTCGTTACAGAGTCGTTGTAATCTGATCACATGAATGTCTCACCTCTCCATTCTCCAGCGGCACGATGCGTGAATACTCGATGGTGCAGACGATGTCGTCATCGTGGCTGATCCTCTCAATGGTGCTCTGTCCAAAACGCTCGATGCAGTCTCTCTTGGAGGCTACACACACACACACGAAAACAGAAAAGTGTGAGGCGTCCTCAGGATCCACTTCAGTTGATGATTAGAGCATCTCTAAGCAGCTGCTCTCAAACCCTAACATCACAGCTGGAGTCATGTTAGTGAACACCGTTCAGCTGTTTCCACACATTGTCAACAGAAACTACAGGTGCTCATCCTCAAAAAGCTCAGAAAAGCACAGCATCACACTGTGGCTGGGCCCATAGCAGGATGCAGTGATGTCAGCAGATGTGGGAGGAGCTAAGGCAAGAAATTCACCAGTGATTGGTGGATACAGCCCTAAATTCTACATGGAAATACCCCGAAATACTGCGAGTAATCCTATGTAATGTCCGCTTCTCAGAGCTTCTGAACTATAGGCTGATCTTAGCACCAGCACCAGTTACTGCACCAGTACCAGCACAGACCCTGGTAGAAGAGAGAAAACAGAGGTGCAGAGATTATTCTGCAGCATTCTTTCAAATTAAAAGTCAAGCTAACCACATTTATGATATGAACGCCTGCATTAAGCCGTCACCTTTTCATTTATCTGCCACCACCTCAGACACCTGGTGTGAGTCTGAATGAGGCACACATCTGCTATTTAAACATCACGCTGCGACCTGCTGGCAACAGTCCTGGAATTCCCCTCCAGCTCACCTGAACTGACGGCTGCGACAGCCAATCAGCTGGCAGGCCTGTGATGTAATGCCCCTCCCCCCGGCCCCCGGGCTGCTATTTAACTGAGGTTAGAAGAAGAGTTAGGGTGACCCACAGGAGGTCAGGACGTCGTACAGGTGAACATGCATGCAAGCGTGTGCTGTTACTCACAGGCGAAGTACTGCCACGGCTGGTAGGTCTGCCCGAAGTCCACGGATCTCTCCAGAACCCAGAGGTCAGGCCGCGGAGAGTTGGCGAATTTGATCAGCACGTATGCCACGTGGAAGAGCTGCAGAGATACCGAAGAAGAAGAAACGCTGATGAAAAGCGCTTTGACCTGGTTTGGACCGTCGATGGAGAAACAGCAGGACTCACTTTAAAGCAGGAAAAACAAGAAAAAACAAAACGACAAGACTAAAAGGAGGAAGAAGACGGCGCTGTTCACTGCTTCCTGGACTCTGCGTCTGCGTCAGCGCTGTGTAATGTTACAAACTCGACCCGACACCAAGCAAAGACAGCCAGTTTATACAGGGGCAGCAGTGTGCCATCATTTATGAACCATCATCAAAACCACTAAATCACTGAGATGTTGAGTTTTCACAATAATGACACAACAACATAAAAAACACCTTTCAGCTTTTAATTTCAAAAAGTTTTTCTGGCTGCAGTTCTGTCATTAGCTAACGAGCTACTGCAGCGAGGGTGGATCAGTAACCAGTACCAGGTGACTCCATCACCATCCTGTCTTTGATGTGAGCATGTTAGCTGCATCCACAGGCTGTGACAGCATCACAGCAACATCCAATCACTATCCTTCGCTCTGAGCCTCAGCTGAAGCGCAGGCTTCACTGCACAGGACTCACTGCAGCCTCTGCTGGACGCTAGAGGAACTGCAGGTTTTAGAGTTTGCGTTTGAGGTCGACGTTTGGAGAGGATGAACAGAAAATGTACTGTCACTGTGGGCGAGGATGCAGGACGTACACAGGGCCCAGGAGGCGCAACCAGAATAAAGTCACAATACAACAAAAAGATGAAAGATAAATATCAAGTATAAATATGAAGTGCACATGTATGATTCTGTAGAAAAATACTCGTAGTTTCTTGTCTAGAAAATATTGAATATAAATGCATTTTGAAGAAGAAAGAAGGAGTGGGCTGGATGGAGATGAACGTTAGAGAGCTGCTCAGGGAGATGCTGGCTTGCTGAGCTAAACAGCTGACCTCTGTGAGGAAGCGCACGTGTCATCAGCTGCCGTCACAGAGCTGAGCCGGAGCTCCTAATGTGCTCCTGCCGACACCTTTTCTCCTCACCCATCACCCCCCTGTTCATTCCCAAAGCTGATTGGACGGTGATGACAAACCGTTGTGTCTGACCTTGAGATCACTCCCCAGCTGCAGCAGAACAAACTAAAGCGACAAAGAAACGCGATAACACGAGCTCTGACGTCCCGTGTGAGGCCTCGCTCACAGCTCACTGCTGATTGGTTCAAAGCTTCACACGTTCCTGGCTCACGCCTGAATGATGCCAACGCCTTCATCGGTCCCACCGTACCTAAAAATAAGCACCCATTGAGCAGAGAAATGCTCAGAGTCTCATTAATGTGGAAAAACTCAAACATTTGATTTGTTACATTTTAAAGCTTCAGATCAAAGATGTGAACTTTAACATCCACAGTCTGAGTCCGTTTGTCATCCTGGCCCTCAGGAAACACACAAAGCTGCCTCACAGGTCGAGTTTACCTCAGGTGATGAGAGGCGTGGCTCTGAGCGGTTCCTGCTCATGATTCACGACATTAGTAAATAAACATAATAATGAACACAACGGTAAATTATGATGATCAGTCATCCTGAGCACTTGCAGCCTGACAGTTGCAGATGATCTCTGCTCTTCGTCTCTCCCAGTCTTTGATCAGCCGTCGTCGGAGCTCGGGCCCATCATCTCCACTTCCTCCTTTTAAAGGCGAGCGCTGTCAGAAGTGATGACAGCAGGAACGCAGAGAGGCTGACGATGACGGGAGTCCGGGGACAGGAGGGCCGTCCATCCATCTGCATCTGTCCAACAGTTTGTCCTCTTTTTAAACAAAGCCTTAAAGTCGTGGACTGCAGAGTCTCAGCAGTAGAACTCCATATTTCTATTCTTGGAGCAGCTTTGCATGATTCTTCTTCTGGTGCAGTCGAGCACATGACCATCCACCGTCAGAGCAGAAACTGTTGTTGTAAAACACATTTCTGACCTTTAACCTGCTAAATTTAAGAGCTCCACATAAACACGCCCCTGCCCCCTTTATTTTCTCTTTCTCTGGGTGAGTTCTGATTGGATAGAAGAAACAAGAGAACGAACCTTTTTATTGTTTTTGGCTTTCAGGTCTGATTGAATGAAACAGGAAGTTGATTCTGGAGATTTATTTTATCATAGTGTTGGAGTCAGAGAGGAGCAGGACGGACCTCGCAGAGCAGCTTTCACCGTGAATGTGCTGACGTGGAGCAGGCTCAGAGGTGCCGCGGTTTGGTTTCCGCCCCCGTCCATCTCTGGCTCTCTGTGGGAGCTCGTCTGAACAAAAGTCTCACTGACCCTTTTTCCATCGAACGTCCTCAGCAGTTATGGATCAGTGATGGCCTCAGTGCTGAGGAAACATCAGACCGAACCTCGGTGCTGAGGAAACATCAGACCGAACCTCGGTGCTGAGGAAACATCAGACCGAGCCTCGGTGCTGAGGAAACATCAGACCGAACCTCGGTGCTGAGGAAACATCAGACTAAGTCTGTGTTTGTGGGCAAACAGGAGCCGCAGGATCATCTGCAGGTCATTCAAACCCACTTTCCCGGATTCAGCACGGAGCGAGGACGCCGCCTCAGCACAGCTCACGGTTCGGGCCTGCATGGTCCCAACAGCGCTTCTAACTAACGAGGGTCGATCATGTGTGTCTTCGTGTGTGTGTGTGTGTGCGTGTGTGTGTCTCTGTGTGTGTGTGTCTGTGTGTGTGTGTCTGTGT